CGTTCCCTTTTGTCTGAAAAAGTCCTGGTGGAGTTGGGAGTGAGAGCAATAGAAGAGCCCCCTCTTCAGGAAAGGTCTGAGCTGGGGGCGGGCAGGGCGGTGCAGTGAAGAGTCTGCATGAAGCACATTTTTGTGCTCTTGAGCCTGTTTTATAAACTGAACCCCCTGGGTTGTGGATTTCAGAGCCCAGACCCATCTCTGCCCGGCTTGGATGAGGTAGATGCTGGAGACCAGCCTCCAGCAGCATCCGTGCCAGCTTCCCACGCGAAGGTGAGAGCCTCTTTCTGCTGTGAGAACCACGCAGGTTATTTCAAAAAGTTACTGTGATGATAGGAACTTGGGACTCCGAGGCCCCATTGGATAATTCGTGACTGCATAGATTTGCTTCAACCTATCTTACACCCCAGATTAAATTTTAAATATACTTTTAAAGACCTAACTTATGCTGTCTTCTAATCAGCTTCTCTTGAGACCAGAGAGTAGGTTATAAAAGATAGGGAGACGTTAGAGCATCATTTGCAGGCTTCCTGATCTCCCCATTAACAGATCAACTGGAATGTGAAACTCATGATAGTTTAACAAACTCAATTATTTCCTACCTCATAGAGTTTAACCCCAAATGTATTGCTCTAGTCTCACAAGCTTGTCAGGAAGCTGACAGTAAGGCAAGTGTACAATTTAAGACGGAAGGGTGTTGTTATTATTGACAGAACTAACCTGTCTTCAACTCACTTTTATCCAGCAGGTTGGAGCAGAGAGGACAACAAAAGGCGAGAATAAGACCGACAGCAGGTAACAGGGCACTGCAGTCACAGCTCCGAGTCCCCCGTTCTCCACACTTGTCCCACCGGACTTGCCAATGCCACTATCAAGGGCTTTCTAAAAAACCCATTTTCTTTCCTCTGGAAAGGTCTGGGCTTCTTTTCCAAAACTGAACCCCAGCTATGGGCCCCATTTTACTCTCAAGTCCTGGATGTCTTTCTTATGTAAGCAGGGGTTGAGGTCATGTGAGTGGGTTTTGCCTCTGGAACCTCCTGATCAGCTCTCTCCCTCCCTTCGACAGGGCGCCTGGCTCCGCAGACCCAGGCAGCTCGAGGCCACAGCGCTCCTTCCTCTCCCGGGTGATCAGAGCGGCGCTGCCCCTCCAGCTGCTGCTCCTGCTGCTGCTGCTGCTGGCCTGCCTGCTGCCCTCCTCCGAAGAAGACTACAGCTGCACTCAGGCCAACAACTTCGCAAGGTCCTTCTACCCCATGCTGAGGTACACCAATGGGCCACCCCCCACTTAGAGGGCTCGGCCCGGCTGGCAGCACCACTCACCAGCCTGTTTACGGGTGCCTGCGTCATGGCCCCAGAGCGACCTGTGACTGCTAGCACTGGCACGGTCCAGGGACCTGCTAGGACACCTCCCTCAGAGCTGGGCCAGAGGGCTCTCTCGGGACCCAGGGCAGCTTTCATACGATGTTCTCCCAGGGCAGGGAACCTGGGCAGTCATTGCCCAGGACAGTTTGGCAGAGCTAGTTGGCTGGTTTTAGGATCTTTGGAAACTGCAGTTTCCTGAAGAGCCAAGCACTTTGTGAATTCTGATTTATTTGTAGAACAACATTATTAAAATGTAGCTAATATGGTTAATGAACAGTAGTGTTCATCACATAGTATATATTCTAGAAACAAGCAAGCAGATTCCGCCTTAGAAATGGTTCAGAAACTCACATGCACCCTTGGCTGATTGATTAAAGCAATCATATTTTAAATGTTTAGACTTATTCCAATCTTGAGCTACAGGTTATAAACCAAAATGTTCTGTTCAGTATTTAGGTCTGCTCTTTTATATTGCTTTAAATTTTTTAAGAAATCATTTGCATGGATGTGGTTATTTGTGCATATTTTTAACAATGCTGAATCTGTATGAATAATGTAAACTTTGATTTTTTAAAGAAAATCAGATTTTAGCTCGAGCTTTTGACTCATGTACAGTAAATGCCAAACTACGTACTTGATAAGGACATTTTTGTAAGTTAATTTTATAAGACTTTTCATAGCTAAAGTGATGCTTCAGGTTTTTAACTGGCCAGAGTGGGGTGTTGATACAGATGCCTGAAGCTGTTTGTCATATGTACAACTCAGATGTTTCCCATTAAAACAAAAAATTGCTATACTTTTGTTGTACTGGGTTATATTTGAAAGTAGCTAAATATGTGTAATCTTCCAGAGAACAAAAATTTTAAAAATATTTAGGGGATTGGTTTAAATTCTAAGCTAGTCTTTACTAACTTGGTAGAGAATAACTTTTATGAGAAACCCACAACCTTTATAGGTGAGAATTACCCGTGTGTGACCCACCAGTGCTATAGGTAGCACTGAGGGCAGCCTGGTGTGGAAGGTGGACGTAAAGGGAAAGATCGTTTAACCCAGATTTTTCTATTCCCAGCTCTCTCCAGAGCTAACGGATAATGTTGAACAAACATTACTGGCAAAGTCACCTGCTTTGCATACAGTCCCAATACCACAGTCTGTTTTTCACCTGAACAAAGAGGGTGATTAGACATTTCTGAACCGGTTCCTTGTTAACCACTCAACCTGTATCTTGGGGGACACCGCTGACTCAACTGCAATCTCAGTCCCCTCTTCTCTGCCAAACACCAACCTCAGGGGAAGCTTGTCAGTAAATGAAGCCTAGATTTTCAGCACCGAGGCCACTTCTGTGGATGCAGACCTCCCCAGGATGTAGCAGTTCAGGAGCCACTTTATATAAAGGGACCAGTTGAAGAGACTGTCTTCACTTTACCAATTTGTTGGAAATGATATGGAGAAAAAGGTACTTCTCTTACCATGTAAATAGCCTTTTAACTCTTTGAAATAATTCATATTGTTCATGGATTACAATAACACCAGAGGGAAATTTAAGTGAAAGCGTTACCCAAACTCTTTCTTTAAGCCACTGAGTTGGTTAAAAGGTCTTGGCTCCAGTTTTGCTGAGGTAAAAGGCAGAATCTCTACATCTTACTCCTCCTTCCAGACCAGAGGCGATAACCATTCTAGAGACCTTTTCTGCCCTTAAGGAAGGACTTTGGGGCAAGTCAGTTCTCAGGATAAAGGCCTTTGAGTCTTAACCCTCACCCTAAGGGTAGCCTCTCTTCACTCAAAGCTTGGTGTAGTCCTAAACACTCATTAAGCAGTAACCTGCTTTGCATTGTCACGGTTTTTGCATTCCCCACAGGCTAGAGAAATTTTCAAATGACTCGGCATTAAGACAACTTCGGTATGAATGAATGACTTTTCTCCCCATCCCTAACATGGTATATTACTAATCTACTCGGATGGGGTAATTACAGAGTCTACCCAAATTTCTATTTTTATATTTGTGGGCTACATTTTACTTGAGCACACAACACCTGTGGTCATAAATCACGCGTGAAATTGTATGCAAACATTTGTGTTTATGTACCTTTCTCTAGGAAGGGTGTCCATGGTTTTCGTCAAATCCTTAAAAGGCTCTGTAAACCTAAAATAGAATTAAGAACAGAATGGGAACATTTCTTAGCCCAATCACTGAAAATTCTTATACTCAACTCCCAACAAACACATTTTTAAAACCAAAATTATGGAAAAAAAACCACTTTATTAGGTTATGTCACATTAACCTTTCTACAACAGTTCCATAGACATTAAAGGGACACAGCAAATAAAAAGTAGTACCTGGAGGAAGAAAAAGCAGATCTCAAAATCTTCTTTCACACAACAGCAAACATTCATTTGTAAAAAGGCCCAAATTTAAAAGCCTGCTAATGGCACAAAGCATTGATCTGGAAAAAACTGACAAATGATACCCAGCCAATAAGCTCTGAGGTACACAAGACCACTGAATAATAAAGTTAGAGGACCAGTAGTCATGGCACTTAGATACCCAACGCAGAAGAACAGATGCAGCAGCAGCACGTTGTGGAGTTGACAGGCGCTGTCCTGGGCCAGCATTGGCGAGCCTTGCCCTTCCCATGAAGGAAGCCCACCGTCACATAACAGTGACTGGCCCACAAGTGAATAGGATCCTTGGAATTCAAAAAATAGAGGGGATGGGGTGAGAGAAAGGATCCAAAGCAACAGAAAGAGTTATAAAGAGACCACACAGTGCAGAGAATACATATCGTAGAGCTGCCACTGGAACCAAAATTCCAGCAACTTTGAGAGCTACCAAGAATAAATGGCGTGTATTTCACACTATAGTAAACGCAGGAAAGCATCAGTGCCTAAAAGATGTGAGAATTTTACATGGGTAAATGTCCAAGGAGTATACTCCACTTTCATGTATCTGGGGAAAGCAACAACAGAAGGAGGTGACAGCAGTACTACCTCCTTCTAGCATGAGCCCAGGATGGGAGGACGGGAATGACAAAATTCATCTTAATTTTTTCCACCCGTCATGGCTGCTATTCTGTAAAGGTTCACATGGACCCCATCTAAGCTGAGAAGGTAAAGGCAACTGTAATTTAGCCATCTCCGTTATGCAAGAACAATACTGGCCAGGCAGGCAGAGGCTTGAACTCTGGTCCAAGCTTTGCCATAAGTAGTTTTATCGACTTTGAACAGGTCAGTTTACCCCTCTGGGCTTTAATTTACATTTGTAAATTAAAGATGGGACTGAACTTCTATGTCTACAAGGGTTTCAGGAAATGGAGGTTGGCCACAAGCAGGCCCCACTTAAACCAGAGCAGCCTTGCTTGTCAGATTGCATTTGATGAATGGATTCGGCAGTCTATTAATTTTTCTTTAGGGTTTTTTTTTTTTCAGTGCTGTCACTCCCTGTGTGACCCTGAGCAAGTCTGCTTATATTCTAGTTTCCACAGCCAAAACATAGGGTAACAGTAATTATTATGAGGATTAAATGTGGATGTATGAGGCACTGAGAACTATGTCTGGCACATAGTAAGTATTCTACAAATATTTTTAGATAGTAAATGATACTATTTTTATCATTCTCTTTATATATATAACCTTTATAATGTTTTTTAAAAGGTTTTGGGGGGCTTAAAGAAATGTGTTAAATCTAATTAAATAAAATTTTTGTTTCAAAACAGACCTAGAAACTGAAGGTACACCTTGAATTTGAAAAAGTATCAACATATGCAAGCCCCTTAGCAGATTTAAATAACAACCAAACTCAATTTTCACATGCTAGGAAATTCTAGAAATGCTTCAACTTAGTTTATGTCTATGAATATATAATGTAACTCTGCCAAGAATTGGTAACTGATTTTTTTTTCCTTACTGAAATAAAAAATAATTGCCCTTCCAACTGAGTTAGCAGGTGAAGTAATCCAAAATAAAACTACCTTACTGCAGAGCTTTTGATTTCGCACTGTTTTGTTTTTTAATACAGTTAAGACCCTCCAGATCTATTAGGCTGATAACTAATAATCTTCTATTCCCACCTCAATTTTTTAAGAAAAATCTCTTAAAAATTATTTTAGGGTTGAATCCTTTGCAGTTAGTGCCATTGAACAGGGAACATCTGAGAGGACTGAGGCCAGGAAGGAGAGGGGTAGTGAGGGAGGAGGAAGAGGCAATCAGAACAACTCACAGAAATTCACATGCAGCCCCCGCAGCAGCGTTGGGAGTGCCCACGTGTGTCCCCTAGGAAGTGCCAGCTCCCCGCCAGGGTCCTGAGCAAGTGCCCTGTTCTAATGTCCTCTGTATTGGAATGTTCCGTGGTAAATATTTAATTAAAACTTGTCTATATGACTTCACATTAGATACTTGTTTGGAATTAAGCCCAAATCTCATTCGTCTCCCATGAATTAAGTTTCTTGTATTAAGTGATCACTTACCAATCAAAATGGAGGGAAGGAATCTTGCCACACGAGTCCGAGGCAAAGCCGAGGATCACGTTGCCATTGTACATAAAATGTGGCTGGGTGGGGATTTTGCTTTTCAATACTTGGTTCCTGTTTAGTTGTCAGGTCCTATTCCCCCTAGTTAATTCCTTTTTAAAACAACTTGAAAACACTGAAATCCTTGCGTAGCTGTGGGAGAGTTTTAAGTTGCCCATCATGGACTGTTTTTTGGGCGGTGGATAACCTCCAAAAATAAGACCTTTAAAAGAAAGCAGTATTAAAAAGAAATGACTAATCTTTGAAATAGACATTGAGGATTTACCCAAAACATGTAAAAACAGAAGCCTGAGCTTGCACACTGGTATCTTCCTCAGAGGATATGTGTGGAGCAGGTGGGCACAGACTGAAAACATTTCATCTGAATGGGGGAAAGGGCCCTAGAATATTCAGAACAAAGAACACCTTTAAACTATAGACCATGTGATCTCTTAGCCCAGACCCCAGTCTAAGAGACATCCTTACACCAAAGAGGCCTTTCAGGTTGAACTAATTTGTATCACAGCACATGCAGGTGAGACCTGAGCCGAGAAGAAATTACTAAGTGTTACATCTTCCTGATAGGCTAAACCCAACTGCAGCAAAAGGGGTAGCTTCAAGAAGCCTGCAAGAATATCTGAAAAATGAGTAATGGGCACTGATGAGTTTTCGTAAGTGCATACACTAGTCTGGATAAGTGCAGGATTTGGCATTCCAGAGTGCTTGGACACTTGAGTCCAATCTGGTGACTGCCCTGGGTCATGAAACTCATCCTAAAGAACTTCACTAGATACTAATGTGGCAACGGCCTGGATCTCATTCTGGTGGTTTTGTTTTGGGGTGGTTTTTATTTTTTCTCTTTTTGGTTCGTTGTGTTTTTTTAACCTGGTATCTCTCTTATAAATACAATTAAGAGAATTTCATCAGCAAATAATTGCTCAAGGCTGCCTTCTTTGTCTCTTACTTCCCACTCTCAAGCCTCCGAACGCTCTGTTTGTCATGGGGAATTCTAAGCTAGCCAGAAAGAAATAAACTTGATCTTCTTGATAACACTGCTTCCCTAGTCCCTATCAAACCAAGCTTATTTTCTGTACTGAATCTCACTAAGGCTATAACACTGAATCACTAAGAATAATTTCAAACCACCTCGTAATACCGACAATAAAATAGTGTGTTCTTTAGGGATATGTCCCAGTGTTTCTGAAACAGTTTTGCTCAACTTTTAGGAAAATTGCACCGATACCAAAATTAAGACTTATTCAAGGTCTCACTAGCAGAAATCAACCTTTATAACACTGAATTTAATCTTCCTAATGACTTAGTAAATACGGAATGTGCTAGCCAAAGTAAACCTGTTTTCAAAAAGAAAATATGTCTAATCTCATTTTTTAAAACATCACAAAAATCACTCATGATGATTTAATTGCTCACTTTCAAAATATAGATGTAACTCATTCTACACATTCACTGTGCTCCAGAAAATTTATACAAAAGCTTCCATTTTAAAAAAGTTAAAATTTCAGAGGTACTTTATCATCATGTCCTATTTATGTTCCACTTGGAATAAGAACTAGTATTTTACTAAGTTTCTATTTCACTCAGTCCACCATATAAATTTTCTGTTAAGAAAATATTTTAAAAGAGCCCTAAAGTGTAAATTCTTAATGGCTATAAATAATTAGTATTTCTTTTTTGAGTGGAGTTCACAAACCAAGTCTTCTTCAAGTGGTGTGCTCATCAAGTCCACACAGTTTGGCCCTAAACTTAACACACTAGCATGCGTGTAGCTAGTCATCCATCCGTGGAACAGTTGTGGCTGCCCCGGAAAAGCATGGCAGTCACCATACCCACAGGAGAGAACCCCATTCTTGCAAACACAGGATCATCCTCCAGCACACATACTGGACCCCGTGAGACAAGAGTTTTAAAGAAGCACAAATCCAGGGGCAGGGAGATTTAAATTACAATCCTCCTTTAAAGTGAGCATACACATGTACGTACACGCACACACACACACACACTCCAAAAAATTATCAGGCTCCGATGCGCATCAAGAGGGATGAACCTGCATGAAGATGGCATCAAGGTCGGAGGGGAAGAATGTGGCTCACATCCCAGCTTGACCACTGGCTCCCTAGGTCGCAATCCCTGTCCTTCAACAGAATAATAGTCCTGACAATAGTCCTCACAGGCCTGTAAGGTAGGTTAAACTCATTAGTTGATGGTCATCATGGTTTTCAATCCCACAATTGTGGTCCAGGGAGAGCTTACAAAGGTCTATTCTAAAAGACAGTTTAGGTCACACAATAAATGTTAGTTTACTTCTTATAAGTGTGCCACGTTCTCTCCCCTTTCCTGCTTTACAACACATCCAGGTCAGATTTCCATTCATTCCTAAAACTCTACAATGTTTTCCAAAGGCGTGGAAGGGAGACGGAAAGTAAGAAAGGGATCACACTGATATCCTATGAGGCCCAGCAAGACAAACCGTCCAAATGCGCCCCCAAGTAACAAGGAAAACCGGGAAGTGGTCAGGGAAGGATGCTACATGGCTGCACCGAGGCCCAGCAAGACAAACCGTCCTAATGCGCCCCCAAGTAACAAGGAAAACCAGCTTTCTCACCCCGACTCCTGGGAAGTGGTCAGGGAAGGATGCTACATGGCTGCACCTACAATAAGCAAAGGAGGGTCCACACAGAAAGAGGATAAAGCTCGCCCACTCCCGGTGGGGCTCACGATTCGCCAGGGAGTTCACGTATCAGCCGCTGATCTCTACAGCCTGTTTACCTCAGGGCTGGGCATCACTGAGCCGAGAGTTCTGGGAGCCCTCTTTGCTCTTACTCTTCTCTGCTGGGCTGTACTTGGACCCTGTGACTGAAGACTTGTGTCCTCGAAGTGTGTGGGCATTCAGCATCTCCAGCAGGAGGTCGTAGACTGGGACCATGTTTTTGCACTTCATGCTGAGCAGGTGTTCCATGCCCTTGTTACTATGGGGACAAAAAGATGCTGATATTCCCATGAGGCAGCCAAGTGAACTCTGAAATCTTCCCCAACATAATAAATCTACCTGCCCTCCCACCACGCCCACCTCCATGCACTTCCCCCGGCCTTTTGTTCTATGGGTCTGGCATCTGGATCCTTCAATGATCTGCACTTTAGGGCAAGGACAATGCCCTTTGGACCTCTGTCCCACCACTCACATGCAATGACCTGGCAGCATCTGGTGCAGAGAACAGTTTACTCTCATTGTTCACAGTAGTTGTGTTCTATATAATTACCACAAACACTGAATTGGTGAATATTGAACCACTGCTCCTGAGGGAAATACACAGTTAGGTTCCCGAGAGCCTCTAGTCACAAAATTTTCATCAGCCCATTAATATATAACCTCATTTTAACTGTTTTGGTTTGAAGACTTTAACGTATTGTTGATTCATTAACATTTAACTCACGGCCTATAACACTATAGCTCATGCTTGAACTAAGCTTATCTAACTTATCTTCTCCATAATGCACAGCACGGCCTTCTGGCACTATGTTTGGGGACCATTTTTGGAAAATGAAATCTCCAACAAAAAGCACAAAAAATGCAAAATCACAACACTAAATAGACCATGTAAGAGACACTTGTTTACAATATGAGAGCTGAAACAGAAAGCAGAGCATTGCCTTGCCGACCTCAGCTGGGAATGCAAGTATAGACAACTCAAATGTTTCTGCCACCCCGTGAATGTTCCCGAATGATCCTGAAAGCACTGCGATTGATTTTGGGGTCATAAATTTTAGCAAGCAGGAAAATTCACAAACATGGAATCCACGAATAACGGTGGATTATCTGTTCTGCAAATGGTTGTGTGCTAAATAACCATTAAACAGAGGCAGGGGTTGTTTTCACTCCCAAACCCTTGTTCAAGTTCTTGAGGTGTATGTTTTCTTCCCCATGGCCCCCAGACTTTCCTGCTCATCTCCCTTCTTTCAGCTCCAGTGCAGGACTATCCTCATCCTGGGTGACATTAGGCAGTGAGCCTTCGCTGCACTGGCACGACGCCATCTGCGGACATCAGCACACCCAATTTACCACAGCCCTGCCTTCCCAAACCTGTCAGCTCGCCAGTTCTCTTACGTCTCATTCTTAACGTCCTGATGCTATCGCAAGGAGAGAACAACTCCCAGAGAAGGCTTTGTGCACTTCCCCAGATCACCAGCCTCAAGAGTTGATCTGGGAGAGCTGGGTTTAGCCTCTTCAAGAAAATGACCTCAAGGCCCAGGCCCTCAGCAGTACGAGG